TTCCTCTGAGAGAAAGGGCTCGCCCTCTCTCTTTCAGAGACAAAAAGTGGCAACAAATGCAGGCAGTTTTCAGGGAGAGACCTATGTAAGGGGACAATAGGCCTGCTTTTTACATTTTCACAGACTGGTCTAGAAAACAGAATATCACCATTTTATTCATTCCCTCAACAAATGTTTCCTGAGCATTTGCTATGTGCAGGCACTACGACGGGCATCAGGAGTCCAGTGTCGAACAAAAGTGGCCACAGGCCTTGTAGAGCTCCTCGGAGATGAGGGGTACGCAAACGCACAGAGAAATACATAGCTACAAATGGTAATGGGTGCTTTAAGCAGAAAAACAAAACAAAACTAATTCTTTGAGAGAGAGCAAATACGGGTAGGGCCTGGACCGAGGAGTCACGATGGCCTCACCAAGGTGGCCTGACATTTGAAGTGAGTCCTGAGTGAAGAGAGGGGGCCCAGTCACTTAAAAAGTCAAGGGGAGAGCCTTCAGGGATGAGGGGAGTGTGCACTCCGGGGAGTCAGACTCTGAGGGTTACTGGTCAGGCAGGAGACCACCTGGGAGCTGCTCCACGGTGGCGTCCCCCTGGGCAAACCAGAGGATTCTAGGCCATGGGGTCCCTGAGAGGCCCAGAGACCCAGGTAGGTTCCAGAGATCAACCAGGACCCAACGAGGCTCTATGGTAAACAGCCTGCGTATAGGCCCAGGGGTTCAAGAAGGTGAGGTCCCAGTGTATTCCCAGGCCGCAGAGCCTCAGACGATCCTGTCCCAGTGACTTCCATCTCTGCTCGTCACTTTCCGTCGGCGGGAAACGGCTGCTTGCTGAAGACCTGGGCCTCACCTTGCTTAGGGTTAACGACTGAGGCAGCTTCTGGCCCTCAGGAAAAGAACAAGCAGCGACGGAGAGCAAGAGCGGTACCCGGAGCCAAGAAAGCAGCCCCTGCCAGCAACTTCCGTTCCTTCTCTTTCCGTCGGCGAAGCTGCCCAAGGAGCCCCCAGTGACTGTTTATGGTGATCTGTTTGTTTCGCAATTGACATTTTTGCCCAGAGGCCCCAGATTTTTCAGTATGAAACTGCCAAATACGCAATTTTGGGTGGATATTTGGCTGAATCACTTTGAAGGGCCTGTCAGTGCCTAAAATGGAAATTGTTAGAAAGCAGAGGCGGTTGGTTGCCAGCAACCATGAAATGGTAATGACCAAATCATTTATTTTTGCAACGAAATGTCATCCCCTAACACTACAAAGGCAGGGTTTTTTTTTTTCTAGTTTGAAAGTACTGACTACCTCTAAAAAAACCTTCTAACGTGTTTCTGTGTGCCGGGCACGTGGGGACACATGCCCTGTCCCTCTCCCCCCGCCGCCCGCCTTCCCACCTAACCAAGCTTCCTCCACGTTCCTGGAGCCCAGCTGCAACCTGGGATGAATTAAGAGGTTGGCTGATTGTGAAAAGTAATCAGGCTTTAGCCACCCTAGAAAACGAGGGGGAGTTCGTTCGGCTATTCGTAAGATGGTGTGTGGCCGAATTTACCACATGGCAACGTCAGTAAGCAGTGGTACACGATGCCCAACATGATGTGGGGCTTTTAACCGTCTGTTTGAGTCTAGCTAGAGGAGATGTGACACTTAATAAGGTTTTACTGTATGTATCTGCTCAGTAGCAGGCAAAGCAGGCAAGAGCTCTAATTCTGTATCTTTTATTTTTAAATTCTGGTACTCTCTTTCTCGTTTAAGAGGAAGAGGCTGGAAAATACATTGTGGGCTCACACTGGGGCCTGAAAGAAGATCTTCTAGTTCTTTGAAAACAGCCATTAAGACACTGTTCCCTAGGGCCAATTCCTGGCGGCCTCAGGTCCTTCTTTACGGTTTTCCATTATTGACTCTTGTGTTAGGCTCAGTGAAAACTTATACTACCATAAGATTGCTTTTAAAATAATACTTTACAGGGCTTTGGGCTTGAAAATATGTCAGTAATGTCTGCACATTCAAAACTGAGAAGTAAGATGGTTCCATTTGGCTCTCACCGTAGGGAGCTTTGAGAGGTATCTTTGGATCACGGTCGTTAGTCCCCAAGTTTTGTGACCAGCTTCTTTTTCCACAGAAGTGGTTTTCCCCAAAGTCATTTGTGATTGTCAGTGTGGGATCCATTTTGTAAGCAGGTCTGGTTTTCAGATAAGTTACAGGACATCACCATTTAGCTGTGGACCTCGGCCATCCGAATGGGGCAGTCTCGGTATCTCACTACCTTTGAAGCCCACGCTTACGGAGTCCCTGTTATGCAAGGGGTTATGGCTCTGATGTGTGGGTGAATCCCTCCTTCCAATTCCCTCATAGCGTTGGCTCCAAGGGGAGTTATAAATTAGGTCAGGTCTGTAATCTCTGTCCCTTTCTCAAACTTTTAAGAGCCATCTAACCCTCAGTCCACTATCAGCTTCAGTCTCCTTATCTGTAACATGAAGGGCTTTTGCGATGCAAGCGGTAAGCTCTCCCCAAACTCTGACATGTGACAAATCTAATGGATTTGCCAGCTCAGAGGAACGTGGCCATTTTCCAACACTTTCTTTAGTTTGGGTAAACCCATTTTCTAGAATGATCTTTCCCTAGATTGCCCTTATAAGAGGAAATCATGACTCATTTCCAGTGTCTTCGAACCCACACTTGGCAGCTCTGCGTGCGGAAACCGTGCTCTCTGTAGAAGGGACACAGAGCACCCTGGAAACCAAGCCAGGCACCTATACCTGACAAGGAATGTGGGCACATGAGGCGGGTGGGGTGAGCAGTGCTCACAGGGGCCAGAATCATCCGTACCATCTCAGTCCTCCCATGAAGCTGGCCCCACTCAGAAGCATGATGGTTCAGAGCTGAGCCCTGGGCCAGACGAGCAGCTCCCTGCTTACTAGAAGTTTAACCTGGAGCAAGTTAATTAACCTCTATGTGCCTCAGTTTCCTAATCTGTAAAATATGAATAATAATTGTACTGTTGTGAGGATTAAATGAGATCAAATGAGCATGTAAAGTGCTTAGAATGATGTCCAGCACATACATAACGAGTGTTCAATAAATGTTAACCATTTTCATCATTGGGCACATATGTCCGGATGTGGAGAGGGTCCCATTACATGAAGCTGTTCTCTCACGTCCCCCAGGCTCTCTGTGCTTTAGAACAACTTTTGTGAGGTGTCTGATCCAGAATAAGTGACTTCCTCCTCTCTGCAGAGCTACGTGTCCAATGGACAGTCTGTCTATCCCAGCCTTAGTCTCCCTAGATTCACAAGACAGTGATAACAACCAGAAGGGTGGCACACGTCTGATGAGAGGGAAGTGTGGTCATTTAAACCTAAGCAAGTGCCTCCCTCGCCTGCAGAGGCTTTATCATAACTCCAACCTGAAGGCCCTCAGAGGTGACGAAGGATCTTTTAGAATAGTGCGTTCCCTGGGGGTTCTCCATGTCTACAGAGGTCCAAACAAGAGAAAATAGATTGTGGTTAGACCCAGGGGAGACATTTGTACTGCAGATGGATAAAATGCTGGGGCCAGACTCCCAAAACAGGTTATATAGTGTCCTCCCTGGTAATTTTGGAAAGAAAGGCTGGTCATCTGTCCTAGACTGTTTTCAGACCATCAGCGCAAGCAAGAATGACACTTAGAAGTCATCTTCTCTGAGCCTTGGTTTTAAGCCTGAGAATTCTAAGACCCAGAGAAAGGCCACAATGGCCCTGTAGTCACATAACTACTTATTGGCAGGACCACTACTTAAGTCATAGGCCAGCAGATCATGCCACGGCACCATACTGGTCTCCAACTGCTGAACCTTCTAGTTCTGGAATGCTCTGTAGTACCAACATACTAAAAAGTAATTGAGGCCCACCCAGAAGGACTCAAAGGTACTGAGCAATGCCTAACTCGCAGCTCCTTCAATTTATCCAACCTGATTTTGGAGCTCTGGCTGTCAGAGCAGTTCAGCCAAGCCTCCTCACTCAAGTAACTGGTTTTCTAAGCTTACCATTTATTTGAAAGCAGCTGTGGTTAGAACAGAGCTTGCTGACTCAGCCCATGGAGTAAGTAAGGATGACTAAACACAAGAATTTCCTGTTGGGGGGGATGGAAAATATCTTTCAAGTGCATTTGTTTCAGGGAACCATTCTGATCAGTCAGGACCTGGCAAATATCTTTCAAGTGCATTTGTTTCAGGGAACCATTCTGATCAGTCAGGACCTGGCCCACCATGGGCCCGTGAGGAAAAGCAGCAGGCTGTCCCCGCTCAGCACCAACGCAAGATTTGCAGATGTTTCCTTTCTTTTTGCTAAACAACCCTGTGGCTGTCGCGGCACCATTTTGGTCTGGCCAGCATTCGCACAGAGCGTTATCTGCCAACTGGTACAGCCCAAAGCCAAGGGGAGCGGATGTCTCCCCTGACCAGAGGGGCCTTTCACATTCCCCTGCTCAGAGGCCTTCCCCCCAGGGGTGAATGGGGCTGATCTGCTTTATCTCAAGACAGCTTCAATTCTGAGCCCACCTTGAACTCGAAAGAGAGGATCATTTGTGCTGACTGATCAGAAACCAGTGTGAGCTGGCTTCTATCTCAAGGGTGCACTCTGGGGAGTTTGCAATCTGGAGTAAAGTCATCATTTTAAGGTCTAAATACCACACAGACATTGGACAACTATAGGAAACGAACATTGACCTTCAGTTGGATTGCTCACCAGCTTAAGGCATTAATTCAGTGAAACTAAAATTTGGATAAATATTTCAAGGCTCTTGGCTGGGAAGGCGTCTGCCTTGCTCAGTTAGAAAGTTGGAGACACCTGGTGCATTTGGGGGGCGACACATTTTTACAACTTGCAAATTAGAAAGGGGGGCGGGGAAAGAGGGAGAGGAAAGTACTCGGCCATCTTCTCAAAGCAATACACAACAGTTCTGACATAGAGGAGTCTATAGAGGAGTTGAATCTGAGGCGCTGCCTCATCCTCTCTCTCTCTCTCTCCCCTCCCCATCCCCAGCCGCTCTTTTACAAGGAGGAAACACGACCGACTGCCTTGGAGGTCTCAAAGAGGGTCAAGGATTTATTTTTAATAAGTGAGTAACGATTTCTTATTCTAATGGGGGAATGTTCTGGGACAGGCAATGTGGAGTGATGGGAAGCAATCTGGTCTTGGGGTAGGGAGAAGGGAGGAGAGAGAGTGCCCCCGTTTCTTGCCACCTAGCAGTGTGAGCTTGGAAGTGTTATACTTTTCTAAGCCGGTTTCATATCCTGTAAGCATTTAAGGTACATAAAGTGTCTGGGAATAATATGGCCTTGAGAAGAGTTTTCTAAATTTCTAATAGTTATGGATTCTTCTGTTTGTCTAACACTTTACAGTGAACACAGTATTTCTATGTTCACTATCTTATTTGAATCTTACAAGATGCATGTGAAAGTGATGCTCAGAGAGGTAAGGGGGCAGAATATGAAGGAACAAGGGGTCCAGATCCAGTGTTCCTTTGAACATACTACACAACGTCTCATTTTAAGGTGTAAGGTTTGTAAAGGATAAAGTGTGATAGGATCAATGTATCAGATCTATGCCTTGCAACTAAGTGCCCTTTGTATGAGGGCTCAAACACGGGAGGAGAGTTTAGAAGAAGCAGTATCAGGCTATGACTAACAATAACATTAAAGACTACATTAAGACCTTGTCTACTCAAAAGACAAGAGGCCAGGGGAAGTGGCCTTGGAATGACTTGGGTTGGGATTATCTAATATTTTCATAAAAGAACAATAGGACCTCTGGTTGGTGGGGAATGAACAGTTGCTATTTGGAATAACACGGGCCAGTGTAAAGAAGTTGATTGTAGACTCAGGTGAGTGAGCCAATATATACTTAGTCCATCCCTATCGGGTACCTGGCTTCTCGTGGAGCCATCAGCTGCTTAACGGGAGTGGACTTGTAACATAAATCTTCTTCAGATTTCCATAGGTCTTAGAACCCTTGACTCATGGTGCTGAGTGGGGCTGTTATAGGTCATATAGTCCAATTCCCACCCAGTGAAACCACTCCTGGATGCCGAGTGGCTACCCACCCTCTGGTGACAAAAAACATCTTACCAACTCTATGTGTCATTTCTAGCGCTGTGCTCTGGCCAGTCCTGATGATGGTCATCTATGCCATCATCATTTCCCTTCCCTTCCCTCCCCTCCCTTTCCCTTCCCTTCCCTTCCCCTCCCTTGAGAGAAAGAGAGCACGAGCTAGGGAGGGGGGCAGAGGGAGAGAGGGAGAGGGAGAGAGAGAGCGAGCCTTAATCTAATGCTCAGCATGGAGACTGACATGGAGCTCAGTCCCATAATCCTGGGATTATGACCTGAGACAAAATCAAGAGTCAGATGCTCAACCAACTGAGCTACCCAGGCACCCTGTGCCATTGTCATTTCTGACTACATGGGGCTCTAGGGGAATACAGAGATGTTGACAGCAAATGCATCTCATGTAGGCAACGAGACATGCTCCTGAAAGTTATATGAAAACAAAATTTCCATAAAGCAAATCCTGTTTTTTGTGTCCTAGGTTGGCTTGTTATTTAAAGGAATCATTGTTCCCTAACTTATCACTTTTAAAAACGTAGAATTAGGTTTGCACAAAGCAGGGATTTTTTAACCTAGGGTCTGTAGTTCTTGGATGAAATACAGGAAGCTGCATGAATTTTTCTGAAACTATGCAAAATTGTGTGTTTGCATTTATACATTTCTCTAAGAAGAGAGTCTACAGCTTTCCTCAAATTCTCAAAGGGGTCAAGCCCCAAAAGGTTAAGAACTATTGGTTTAGAGGAAGGTAGAACTATAATTATGTTCATGAACATCCGTTTGCAGCTCTGATTACAGTTTAGTAGGTCGGTAGCTTTGTCTTTGTCCTTTGCCAGTGTCGAGTTCTCTTCCCTTCTGCTGCCTCTGAGGGATGGGTACCCCTGGGGCATGCTTCCAAGCTTTGCTCATCTGCCTGCCCTATTTGAGAGGATTTGAGAGGCGATTGTTGGCCGTATAATTTAAACTTTGGAGACAGACAGCTCTGTGATGTGGGGCAAGTTGCTTAATCTCTCTGATTCAATTCCTCATCTAATAGATGGGATAATAACAGGATTATTGCGACGAGTCTAAGTGAGATGATGGCTATAATGTGTTTGATGCATAGTAAGTGCTCAAAAAAGAAAAATGTCAACAGAATCTGCACCAGGTGACCAAGTCCTTAAGAAGACCTAAAGCTCTTTTCTGATGGCACAGATAGCTCTTTCTGGGGACCACCTTGCTGCCCAGGACCATGCTCAGTGGCCCATTCGTGGGCATGAGAACAAAACCAGTTGGACCTTTGCCATTTTGTCAAATGGCCTGTTCAGTGCTGGTCCTCTGCTGAGAGCTGTCAAGGGGCCCTGAAACCGTGTTTGATTACTGAACGCGGAAATTCTATGTAGGGATACAGGCTGTGTCTACGGGAGCCCAGAACAACGGGTGCAGTCAAATCGGCTCCAGACCTCAGTCAGGGCTTTGGCTTGGCAGCAATGACAAGTGTCCAAGGGCTTTCTCTCCGCTGTTCCTATCTGAGTCTCAAAATAGCTGGATGAGGTCAGCAATGCAGGTGCTGGAGAAGCCATTTATTGGCAGCAATCATACAAGCAAGTCTGGGGGTTTCAAGGACTTGGTGAAAATGTGAGTTTTTTTTTTTTTTTAAAAAGCTAAATGAGTTAGCAAGAAATGTTTACTGAGTATCCGTTTTTCAGTGTTGAGCTTATTGGGAAAAAATGAATATAGCACAGAGCTAGGCACATAGGAAAGGCTTCTACAGTCAGGTTGGGGTGTCAAGAATTGTATGAGAGGGAAACTCGTGGAGACAGTCTAACTGGATGGTCTGGTATAGTCAAGAGCTGTAAGACTTCAGAGAAGGGAAGATATAAGTCAGTTGCAGGACACGTGAAACGCTTCCTTTTTTAATATTTATTTGTTTTTGAGAGAGAGGGAGAGAAAGCAAGTGGGGGAGGGGCAGAGAGCAAGGGGAACAGAGAATCTGAAGTGGGCTCTGCACTGTCAGCACAGAACCCAACGCGGGGCTTGAACCTACAAACCATGAGATTGTGACCCGAGCTGAAATAGTCAGACACTTAGCCAACTGAGGCACCCAGGCGCCCCAACAGGCTTCTAAAAAGAGGCCGCCTTGGGTTTAGGGAGGTAGAGGGAAGAAGGAAAGTGTAGTGGGAACGCAAGCAAGGGCAGAGAGGCTGGAAGGAGCCGACTGGGGGTGGAGGCACTTGCACAGTGGCAAAACTGGGGGCTGCGTCTGGGAAGGAGTGGGGATTTGGGCTGAAGACGTTACGAAGCCCTCGAACACCCAGATAAATAGGGAAGGGGTGTGGACGTGATGTGGTAGGCAGTGAGGAGTGCTAAGTGTGGCAACAGAGGGACAAGAAGGGGGAACGGGGTAGAGTCCAGCTGGGCGCCATGAACAAGAATCCAGACGTAAATGGGCAGAACAGTGTGGGCCAGCAGAAGACCACGGGAATGATGTGTGAGAGAGCCTGCTGGTCTCTGGGGCCTTTGCCTAGAGTGACACCCAGAGTTTTCTCTTTGTTTTTGTTTCTTCTTATTTTAATTCCAGTGTAGTTGGCCTACGGTGTTGTATTAGTTTCAGGTGTACAGTACAGTCGTTCAACAGTTTCATACATCACCCACTGCTCATCACAGCAAGCGTGCTCCTTAATCCCCATCACCTATTTCACCCCGCCCCCACCTCCTTCCCCTCTGGTAACCATCAGTTCTCTGTAGTTAAGTCTGTTTCCCCATCCATCCATCCCTCTCTCTCCCTCTCTCTCTCTCCCCCCCTCCCTTTGCTCATTCATTTTGTTGCTTAAATTCCACATATGAGTGAAGTCCTATGGTATTTGTCTTTCTCTGACTTATTTCACTTAGCTTGATACCTTCTAGATCCAGCCATGTTGCAAATGGCAAGATTTCATCCTTTTTATGGCTGGATAATATTCATTGTATAGATACCGCATCTTCTTCATCCATTTATCTATTGATGGACACTTGGTGCCCTTCCAGTTTGGCTGTTGTAAATAATGCTGCTATAAACATAGGGGTGCATGTATCCCTTTGAATTAGTGGTTTTGTATTCTTTGGGTAAATACCCAGTAGTGCAATTGCTGGATCGTAGGGTAGTTCCATTTTTAAGGAAACTCCGTACTGTTTTCCACGGTGGCTGCACCAGTGTTCTCCAGCATAAGTAATGCCTCTTTCATACAGACACATGTGACCTGCTTTAGGCCAACAAGGCAAAATAAGTTGCAAAGGAGAAAAATTGAGAGGTGATTCTCCATGTTACAAAATGGTTCTTCACCAAAGGATGCACAAAAGGTTCTTTGACTTAGAAACTCCCCTCAGTTTAGAATGCTTTCAGAGTGGAACAGTCGGCTTTTTTGAATTTAGGAAGAACAATCAAAAATTACATGGGAGGGGTGCCCGGGTGGCTTAGTCGGTTAAGCGTCCGACTTTCACTTAGGTCATGATCTCGCAATTCATGGGTTCGAGCCCCGAGTCGGGCTCTGTGCTGACAGCCATCTCAGAGCCTGGAGCCTATTTCGGAGTCTGTATCTCCCTCTCTCTCTGACCCTCCCCTGCTCACGCTGTCTCTCTCTCTCTCTCTCTCCTAGAAGTAAATAAAAATTAAAAAAAAATTACATGGGAAAGGATTTTGTAAATAGCTAAAGGGGGGCGGGGGTAGAAACCAGTCAAATGTTTCCGGTTGTCCTTTCTTGTGATACATGGAAACTACATAAAACTTACAACTTATGAAAATAATACTAAGCTGCAGTAATTTTAAAAATAATTTAGTAAGTTGAAATGCATGAGGATTAACCAGTAGTAATAATAATAGTCAACATGTATCAAGGGCTTGCATATTACTCAACAATTTAAAGCCATCACTCTGTTTGATCTTCACAGCAGTCCTTTGAAATAGATTTTACTATTTTCCCCCCATTCCATAGATAAGGAAAATGATGCTTTCAGGCTAGTTAACCAAAGTGCACGATAACCCTAAAATAACAAGAAAGGA